CGGCTAGACCAAGGTTTGAGATTTTCCCGTAACGACCGAAAAGCCGAGGTTATTTAGTTATTTATTATATGGCTTATAAATGGAAGAAACCGGCAAAAAATATACTTAATCAGAATTTTAAGTCATCAATTTATATTCGGCGATGCGCGTTTACCTACTCCTTCTTCGACTCAGCTAACGATAAAATTACGCAAACAGTGAACACGTATTCTGTGCAGAAGACATTTATTTTCGGGAAAAATAATCTCACTCACAGCATTAAAAAACTATTCCAATTTAGAGACTCAAGACTTGATTGGAGAAAGTTGGTTCGTCGTTCAATCCAAAACGTAAACTGGAGTGCATTAAAAAAAGACAGAGAAGTGCTTTAAAATAAGTGCTTTAATAAGTACTTTTCGAAATACTTCTTGGCTTCGGTGGTTTGTATACCGATAATCTGCAAGTAACTCGCGGGATATTCGATTGTTTACCACTTGGTAGATTTTCAGCCTCAGCCATCAGTACCACAAATTTCCTTCAATCGTAATTTTCATTTTATCGAGAGTGGATTCCAAAGTCAAGCTAGAAGGCAATTTTGAGTCGCACTAATAGTTACGTTTGTGCGCCTATGTCACCTCATTCTTGTGCTTATCGCCTGTGTCCTAAGTGCCCTTATCCATTTGCGTGTCCTTGTTTTGTATGTGTCAATCGGTGTAATTAATCTCCTCTCTTAAAATCGGTCTGTTGATTTTCAATGTAGTTTAATTACTTACTGCAACATTTCATTTAAAATACAGGTCACACACTAACAGGCTTTGGTAGGAGTGTGATACATTACTACTGTACACTGGAACGCTGGGTTAGTTTCTTGATGTGTACTTTCATTTTCCTGACGTTATTAGCAAGATTCATGGACAAAGGTTGGTGTTTTGTGGCAATTTGTTTACATTATTCTTATATTCGCTAGGCTTCTGTGTAATGTGCAGTGTGAAAATTCAAACAGAAACAGAAAGAAGTGTAATTTTGACTCCATACTTTCAAAAGCCTAAATCATTTATGGGCGTGATGGAATGTGATTTCCAGTCGACTTGATCAGTACCTGCTTTTTTTGAGGTAAATGACCTCAACGTCATGTTTTTTCTAGGTTTTTTCATCAGTTCTTGTTTCGCTTGTTTCTTCCTTCTCGTCCGTTACTATTTTCCCTACCGGCGTTCGTGGAGTAATACTTAAAAACTGAGCAGAAACTGCCATCGATTTTAAATGGTGAGTTAAAAGGAAATAATTAATTTTGTTTTCTTAACCGTTTCACGCATTGCATTGGTTTTTAAGTTTCGTATATCTCTTTTTGTTGTTGTTGTTGTTGTTTTTTTATTTCATTGGCGTAGGCAGGTTATGTTTACATAGGTGAATAGGGAGGGTTCTACCCTAGCCTCTCATTAGCGCCTGGAAGTTTTCAGTGCTTTATTTTTGTAGATTATTACTTTCATTATAACGTTAGGGCGGCCCCTCCGCAAGGTACACCTTATTTTACCATATTTACATTTGTTAATATGAACTATCAAGATGGGTTCATGGATTGTTAAGGTCAACAGATTAACTTTATATTCATGTCAAAATATGGGAAGTTCATGAATTCTTTGGTAGACGATAGAAGACTTCTGAAAGGGCAACAGCAAGTGACTCAAGTAAATCAGGCTCTCAGTTACGGGAAAATTTATACATCCAGCCGAGCGTCATAAATACCATTCATCATTTGGAGTTCAGTTTGAGAGTTAGGCTGGTTTTTTCCTAGTGACTTGTAGAATTCTAGGGAAGTATAGTACATGTCCACCTCTATGATCATTTCTAGAAAATGTCGGGCGGTTGTGGGGGAACTATTGTCAAATGGAAAGTTGTTTCAATGATATGGTCCCACCAACTAGAGCTGTGCAGCCGTACGATCATTTTTACGAAAAGTTTTAGGGTTGTGGAGGAACTATCATGAAATGGAGAGTTGTTTCAGTGATACCGTTACACCCACTTGGGGCGTGCAGATCCTTTTTGTATTGTTATTCATGGCTAAATTCGTAAATAAATGTGTTCATTTTCAGAAAGTGATCATTCAGTTGAACTGAGCGTGATATTTGTGATCTGTAGCCGTATATACAAACACCCTTCACGGTGTTTTTAGGCTATTGCAAAGTATTAAGTTTTTTTCATAATGTAATTGAAGAACCCTTCTCGAACTACTTCATAGATAATACGCGGGAATGTTGGAATAAAAGCAGTTTGTCACTCTAGGAAGTAATACCTTTCAATTATCAATGTTAACGAGGTGTAAAGAATTTGAACAATTTTGTATTGCAGATGGTGAGAAGAAAATGTGTCCGAGTGTGTCCAAACTGTGTCTAAAGAGCGTAGAGGAAAAGTAAAAAGGTTAACAGGAAAGGGAAGGACTTGCTTCCCAGTAAATATCGAGTGGTGAGAGGTTGTAAAGGAGCTGGCTAAACGCGTGCAACATCTTCCTACATCCAAAAAGTTGCAACAAAAATTTGACCATTTTCATACATGATCCAACACCACTCAAAATGTTGCTACAGGGTGGCCAATAGTGTGCAACATGTTGCGTGCAACAATGTTGTAGCATTTTGTATCAATGAAATGTTGCGTGCGTTTAATTGTGTTGATGTATTATGTGCTTCATTTGATAGCTGTGTGACCGTGTCACCTTTCCCTTTAACATTTCCAAGTAACATTGAGCTTGGGACAGCTGCTGCTAGTTAGTTTTAAGGTCGGCACACACGAGGGGACTAGTTCCTGCGACTAGTCCGTGCGACTAGTCCCGGCGACAAGTCTTTGAAGGGTTTACACGAGGGGACCGGTAGCAGGGACTAGTCCCTTAAGGTGTTCACACGAGGGCACTCAATTGCACAAGAACATAGGAAAATTAAGAGGCAAAAGATGTTTCTTAGTCTGGGGCGTTACACGAAAACAATGAAAATTTGGCAACTTTTCATTGTAGCACTATTAAACATCAACGCAAATGAACTACACTTATTCAGTCGAATTATTCATGTTTTTACGTTC